CGAAGTTCATAGAGTGAGGTTTTGTTAAATAGGGGAAAGAGGAAAAAATGATCCCAGAATGGGAAGTGTCCTCTGTCCTCTCTCCTTTTGTTTCAGTTTTGTCTGCTCCCTCTTTACATCTGGGGCTGTGTGTCTGCCTGCACAGCTGCTTATGACCTCCACCATCAGAGTGCACTCCGTGATGCCTTCAGCCCTTTCCTCCTTCCCAAACCTCCTGGTTTGATAGGGAAACCACTTATTCCACATGGAGGGGAGCTGACTGATGGTCTCTCCACACTTCTAATGTGTTGTGGATTGGGACTTATCACACTTGCCAGATCTTGAAAGCTTTTTGGAAATGCACGCCACCCTGATTCCCAGCTGCCCAAGCTCTCTTCCCACGCAGAGAGGCTTTTGCCGCTGCCAGTGGGGGAGAGGGGCACGCACTCTCTGTCCATAAGGGCATTCCCTGCAATGGTTAAAAGTAGACTTGATGGGCAATGGGTGGAAAAAAACCCCAAACCAGACCACCAACTCTTTGATGTGGTTGAACCCAGCTGAGAGCTTGTTCTGAGGAATGTGCTAACAGTTATGACACCATGTGCGTCCCCGTGACACTCTGCTGGGGCCATTTTGGGATTGGCACAAGAAAATAGCCTGGTATTTGGGGAAGGAGCAAAAACTGGGTTGTCCTGGTTCTCTCTTGATTTCTGGAAGACATTCGTGGCTGCTGCTGGGTAAGAACCAATTCTCTATCTCTACTCCTTTAGGCCCTTGGCAAAACTACACTCCCTCCTTTCTCAACACTCACACCCTCTGCTTAGGCAGCCCTACCTTCCTATAGCCCATCTCCTTGGGTGGCCATACCTTTGTGTCCCCACTTTCCTCATCCCCATAGATACACAGATGATTACTGTTATCTAGGGAGAACTAGGTAACATAGTACAGATGTCCTGTGGGCTGTGAAGTGCTAAGTGTCTCCAAATATTGGTTGTGGATGCTCCCGAGAAAGGTAAAATGCAGGCAAAGCTACAGAGATGCTCCCAGGGCTGCAAAAGGACTGGAACAGGTGATGTTTGAGCTGTATAGCAAATGGAGACACTATGCAGCTTTGGGTTGTGGGGTTTGGGGTTTTTTTTTCATAGGTGTATTATAAGAGCACTCTCTACTTGTCCCAAGAGACTTCCTAACCCTGTGTTTTCCAGCACTTTAAGCAATGTGGCTTTTTCTGATGGAAACTCATGTGGTAAGAAGTGCAAAATAAAAAAAGCACTTGTTTGCCCCTCAGCTGAAATCATAGCCTATACTTTCCCACTGCTGCACTTACACACTGGCACTGGTTCCAGCAGGGAAAAGGAATAAAATCTTAAATGCTACACAGCGATATGGGTGCATCTTCTAAGTTATACAGCGGTGGGTGTAGTAACCTTTGAGTTACAGACCGGGAAACATCTTGTTAGGCTGGAGAAGGGAGAGAGCACTGAAAAAGTGAATCTAATAAACAGACACTTTAAAGGCTACAGCTGTTTTGAAACCCTCCAAGTAATCATATGATAAACACGGTCATTGTCGTGTGTCCCCCCCCACTCCCCCAAGCTGTTTGCTGTTGGTTTCTCTAGGATCAGATTCATCCTGTATCAGAGAATGTTAGTGGAAAAACACATTCACACCCACATGCTCTCACTCAAGATGAAGATGTCTACCTGTGGGCAAAACATCACCTTTTTAATTAGCGTTCGAATTTTCTCTGTGCTTTAGAAATATCCTAGATGCTCATTAGCTGAAAAGAAACGCAGCTGGCTGCAAAGAGCACAAGGCAGCGCTTGGGCTGCTGGAGCGGTGAGCTGCCTGGTCCCTGGGGTGATGTGTGTTTAATATATGTGTCTGGCTTTTGTAAGAGATGAAGTACAGGTTGCCTTGAAATTGTTTTATAAGAGATTGCCAACTTAACGGTTTCCGAAAAGCCACAATTTCAAATGGCTCACAAAGAGGCCTGGTACAGGAAGGCTTACAGGTATTTAATATTCATAAGCTCCCTTAGGATTTAACAAAGATGGCAGAATTTCTGGGCAGCAACAGCTGTTCCTGTATGTGCATCTATATAAATAGATAAAATATTAATAGATGTGAGCAGCAAACTCCATTTCTGGTTCTGTTTTTGATTTGTATGTCCTTGTCCCTGGTATTTTGTATCTGTGTTAAAGCCTACACTGCCTATCAACTCAGTCAGTAATGGGCATCTGCTCCACAGGCCTTTTTTCCAGCTTAGTTTCATAATGTGTTCAAGAGACCTCGAGATTCTCTGGCCAATGGTCCTACAATAACACAAGGTGTTCTTTGAATATGCTTCCTTTAACTCTCCCTACTCGCCAGCATCTTTTCTGGCTTTTATCTGTGGTTCTTCATGTTACTTTTTCAGGGAGAGGCACTTAAATCACAACATGGGGCCAGGCATCAAACCCTGGTTGCTTACAAGTTTAGCAGAGGTTCCAGGATGGATGGGTGCTGGGTACCAGACAGGCTGACGGTAGAAGGCTATGGGAAGGAGTCAATAAATGGTTAATATTTAAAGGGGAAAAGTGGCTATAGCAGCAAAATGTTGGAAAGGCTGCAGAAGACAATGTCACTGGCAGACGGGAAGTTAGTTTAGTTGAAAGCTAAAATCTGGTTCTAAAATCTGTCGGGGATCCATTTAATGGGTTCCAGGTACATCCTGTTGCATTTTGAGGCTGTGCATGTGCTGGGTTGATCTGGAGAGCTCTTAAGACTTAAGCTCAGTGTAGAAATCTCCAAAACACTGCAAAAAACATTTGAATAGCTGTGCAGTTTTGATGTACAGCTCCTGTATTTAAAAAAGAATAAATTACTGAATGGCAGGGAAATTTCTCCAATTCATTTGTGGAGAAAAATTTAGAGAATCACTGTCCCAAATGATGAAGTCTGTGTGCTTCAATTCCTTGGTAGGTCCCTAGGCTGAGTCCCCTGCCTCAACCTGTGGGACCCTTAGCTCCCTTACACTGTCTGCTTTGTGTCTGCTCTCCCTAGGACCTGGAAGAATGCCCAGCTGGGAGAAGCCATGATCGAGAGCCTGGAAGCCCAAGGACTGCAGCTGGCCAAGGAGAAACAGGAGTATTTAGGTAGGAAACTCTTACTTCCAAAAGCCATAAACCTCAGAATTACCCATTTTGTTTTTCTGGAGTTGTCACTGTGGTCAAGCCAAGCAGCTACAGGTTTTTACTGTTGACTTTTACCAGATAAAGCTTTTGAGTAGGCAGCAGCTGAAATTCACGTTTTGAAGGCAAAGCATGAAAACATTAAGGTAGTATCTGGAGATCTGTGTGGAGTGTGAAAGGAAGAACGGGCCTTGGCCAGCATGCTGCTGTCCTGCAGCTCTGGATGGCTGCACAAATGTTTGGTGCCCCTGGGAAGTTTGGGTGTGCTGATTTCAGCTGCTCACCAGGGAAGCAGCCAGTACCCTCGTCCCCCCGAATCACACAGGACTGGTATTGCTGAGGCTGATCACAGCTTTTCTTGCATGAGTTTTCCTCCTCCTCTATCTGGTTGGTGTGGTTTTGGCCTTGCTCTACTTGGTCTTTGTCTGCATTTGCCCACACTGTTCACGTTGAAAGTGGGTGGATTTACATGGGCTTGTTTGAGGTGTCTAATGGCAGCGGCTAATTTCTCATTGCTCTCTCTGCGGGCAATGGAGAGTGAGCAGTTGCTCCAGATGAACACAGAAGGTTGGAAGAGGCTTCTGGGGGTTATCTAGTTCAATCCCCTATTCGGAAAACCGCCTCTGGATGGCAGTACCCTCCTGACTGCCTCTGGAGGTCCATCTGTCTCTCCCCACATTGCCTATAGCAAAAGCCAAGGGAGAGCAGCCTCTTTAACCCAGATGCCTCCTAAGTTGGAGTGTTCCCCAAGACAGGCCCCTCTGGCCTGGGAGCTGCTTGGTCACACCTGTGAGCCCAGTCATTTGCCTGGACAGTCATCTACTCTGGACAAGCCAGTGGCACCTTTGTGTGTTTTCAGGTTGGTGATGCCTTGAGCCAGGGGTTCCTGGTCTCTACTCCTAACCATCGAGCCACTTGAGGAATCTTGAAGAGCCCTTTGCATTTCTGCATCCATGCTGATCAGGGGTGATCTCAGTATATGGTCTCACATGTAACAGTGGTTGTAGTTCAAGTATCAAGGCCTGTTTGTTCCAGCCATCTAAGCACTGTTCAGACGTGTGAGCTGCTGGATGGGCTGGTACGCAAGGCAGGCAAGGAGGAGTGGTTCCACCCCTGACAAAGGGATAACGGGGAGCACCAAGAGGAGGACCTGGAGAGACAGGAGGAAGGTTAGAAACAGGAAAGTTTTGTCAAAACATTATTTTGCAACCAACAGAGCAGACTAAAGAGCCGAAGAGACTAAAGAGGGCCACAGTGTGATAAAAGACAAGGTGATGGAGGAATAGAGAAATACACATTCTGTGGCAAACAGGAGGTATTTGGAATATAAAATATACGTTCCATTGTGTTCTTTAGTCCATGACAAGAACATTCAGAGCTGGTCAATTGTCACAGTTGGTTACTTCCTTTTGACAGCGATTGTCTATTTATTCCTCCATAACTGCTGAAGCTTCTACCTCATTGGCCTTACCTTCAATGACCTGTGTCCATCCTGTAGTTAAGTTTTGAGGTCAAGCACTGCTCCTGGCATCAGGACAAGGCTCTCTGGAGGAAGCAAACACTGCTCTGGGGAATTTCCTAAATCTCCCCAGAGTTACCTCCCACCCAGCTGGGATCCAGGTTTATCTCTCGGGGTGGGACTTTGCAGAAGCCCATCAAGCCCTGGGCCCAAGGAGGGGCAGAAGAGGGAACGTGGGAGAGCTTCTGTGTAGTTACAGTGCAGTTGTGCTGGGTCCTGGTGAGGAGGAAGAGGGTGAGACAAGGCAGGAAAGGCAGCAGTGGTGGTCAGCAGAGCTTTAGTCACATAAACAGGAGCCCTGCTGTGGGCAGGGGGTAGTAGAGATCTGCATTCCTCCTAGCAAGAGTAATCCTGCCAGCAGGAGTAATCTCTTCAGGAGCCCAGTACAAAGGAAACCGCTAGCATCCTTCTCACCTGGTACTGGGAAGATTTTAAATCCTAAAGTGCTACAGTGGATCTGCCCCTGCTCACACGGCAGCCGGGTGGCAGAGCCAAGAGCTAAACCCTAGGCTTAACTATGAGGAATGTGTTTCTGTCTAGTTTCCCGTAAGCCTAACTAAGAGCTGCCTAAGGCAGAGCCTCTGTTTAAGGTTAGAGCGTAGCAGAGCATCGGTACATCAGGTCGCAGTGTAAGGATCAGAGCGGAGTCTCCAGTGGGCACGCATCCTTCTCGGTAGACAAGCGCAACTGATGTTGAGGGGAACTACTCTTAACGGCAAAAAGATTTGTGGCTGAGGTTGGGGATTGGTACCTGGGCTTGGCTGGGACATCCCAAGGTGACAGTAGGGAGCTTGGCTGGGACATCCCAAGGTGACAGTAGGGAGCTGGCGGTGATGCCGGGGGGGCTGAAGGAGACGGTGATTGCTTAGGGGGGTGGGGATGGGGCACTGAACTGCAGGAGGAGAACTGACTGCTGCTATGCTGTGTGCGACCCTGGGCACCCGCTTAACCTTTCTATGCCCCTGCTGCCTCGTGTGTGAAGCAGAGATAAGGGCGTTTTCCTGGCTCAGCTAGAGGATGGCGAAGGTTAGTTTGTTAATGCTCCTTAAGAACATTGAGAGGAAAGCTTCTGAGGAGTACACAGCAATATGGTTGTTTAGTTTTATTAAGTTATTTGGCAGGAGGGAAATTACAGAGCATCCCATTAGTGTTATCTCAGCCCTTGGAGCCTCCCAGACAGACACACACAGAGCAGTAGGGAATGCTGCGTTTTCAAGCTCCAAACAGTCAGTGTTTCATACTGATAAATACCCCCCAGGACATAAATTGCTTTTCTCTGCATTTTGGCCTTTGTGTATGTGTGTGTTTGCAGATAAGCTAATGGAAGAAACAGAAGAGCTGTGTCTGCAGAGGGAGCAAAAAGAGGTGAGCGTTCATCACAAGCCAATTCCCTTCATCTTCCATGTGGCAGGACTGGGAGGTCGGGACTTGTTGGTTTGAGAGCACGCTAGGTTTCAGGGAGGGAGGCTGCGGAGCTGAAAGGGTCTCCAGCCAACCTCTGGGCCCTGTGGATGAACAGAGGAGTAAGACCCGTGCCACAGGGTGGATCCTGAGGTGTATCCCTGCTCCCCTTCCCAGGTACTTTCCACGCAGCATCCTTGTGATTATGTCTCCAGGAGGACCAGGGAGGAAGATCAGATTGAATTCATATTCACTGGGTTGAATTAAACACTTGTCAATTGGTAGATTCAAGACGACTCTGGCAATCAACTTGTCAGTCTCCCCAGTTAGAAAGCAAATAAATAGACCTGATGCTGTTCTAGTGTAGAGATACCGTTGTGAGAGCCAAGAACCAGCAAAAAGCAATGTGGTTTATTCTTTGGACACACCAGAGATGAGCAAAATAATAAACATTGCACTTGGGAAAGCCCAAGAGAACCCTCCCTTAGATGTTACTATTATACCTTAATTTATGCAGCTTATTATTTTTTTCAAAAATATTCCTAACTTATATTTACTTAGTGTAAAGTAGCTCATTCTCATACTTACACCAAATCTATACTGGTTTTTACAGCACTATTGTAAAGTTATTGTAAGATAGCTTTGCAGATGGGTTGTCCCATTACACGGTAGGAAATGCTGCGTGGATTGCACCACGTTGCAATCTTGCAAACTGCTGCATGCTCTCTTTTCCAGTTAATCCAAAATGGCTCTCGCCCCTCTTTAGCAAAGGACGGCAATGCTGACCTAGGCTTCTCAGGCCTGTGTTTTTCCTGTGTATATTTCTGCAGAGCTAAAGTCCAAAGGTGGCTTGGACGTTCCTTTAGGGCTAGGCTACTTCTGCCTTTGCAGGGTGACATCCGTTTCTGGTGAGGTAGCCTGCTGCACAACCCACAGCCGCAGGGAGGGGAATGCCATTGTCTAAAGACCCTGGAACAAATCTCTGCTCTTACAAAACCACGCATGGTGTCTCCGTTGCTCACAAAGAGCAGATGGGGCCAGGTTTGAAGGAGTTTGGTACGGATGAAGGAGTCAATATATAGCTCACTGAGCTGTGGGCAGCCTGACCTGCTGTGAGCCTGAAAGCTTCAGAGCAAGACATTGGGCAAGCAGCTTGAACCGTGTACCTGCACCATGGAGCAGGAGTCTTACTATGCATTTATCTGGCGCCAGTGCTGTTTTGGGACCTGCCTGGGCCTGCAGCAGGAGTTCTGCCTAGAAGCTGAGGCTGCAAAAGGACCTGATCAGGAGCGGGACCCTCGCTGTGCTTTGTCCTTGTCCCCCTCCATCTGCAGTAGGTCTCGGGTACAACTGCTTCCTCTAGACTAGGGGAAGAGACTCTTTCACAGCTTGAGGATAGCTTGTGGCGTTCAGTGCTGTTTAAGCATGGGTTTATTAGCACAAAGGTAGTGCCAGGCTGATTAAACTGTGCAAAGCTGTAACTGTGCAGTTCGTGTGTTCCTGTCCCAGCGGGGATGGGAAGCAGGGCTGAGATAGTGGAAATATCACACCTCAGGTGCAGCAGTACCGGCGCTGTCATGTTCATGTCTGGGCTTTCTGTACCTGCACATGCAAGTGCCTGGAAATGGTACACGGATGTTGAGCCCAGCTTTCCCGGGGAGCTTTGGACCTTCTATATATGTGCAGCAGAGCTGCTCTGTGCAGGGAGCATGTCTGGGATTTCTAGGTGCTTGGTAACCTGGCTGGGCCTTCTGGATATCTGGAAATCCTCAACTGACCTTCAATCCCTTCTAATTGCCCCTGGACAAAAGCGTGGTGGAGTTGGATGCTCCATGACTCTACATAGCTCAGGTTAAAAGTCCCAGGCACTGTTCACAGGGAAGCTTTTCCTAGCTGTAAGTGTGTCAGCAGAGTACATTCTTGCCTTCTCTTTCGGTGCAGGAGCTTGAGCGTCTGAACCAGGTCCTGGAAGCAGAGAAGCACCGGTTTGAAGAGGTGGTACGGGAGCTGCGGCTGGAGCAGGAACAGATCAGGCGGTAAGGAGGCAAACTGTGCTGGGCAGGAAAAGGACACAAACTCCCACGCTGGGCCCAAGTGCTGCTGTGGTGGTGAATCAAACCAGTTCGTCAAATCCACCTATTTTGTGCATGTAGGAAGGAGATAAATGCTATATGGACCAAAACATATAGGGACTCAACAGGAACAGTTAGGATCTGTTTACCTGCATTGTCTATCGCTTGTGTTGTGACCAACAGAATACAGTTTAGTTTCATTTTGTGTTCAGGGCTCCAGCAACTTCATTTTCGAAGGGCTGGGACATGAGCAAACCCCAGATTAGTCGGGGCAGCATGGCAACGGGCAGGTGCTAGAGGATTTCAGAGAGGCAATGAGTTTGATTGACTGACCAGCCATGTGGGCTCCAGCCATCTGAATCTGGTTTTCCACTGTCAGCTGAATGTCAGGGGGTGGATGATGAAGTTGCCTCACCAAGAATAATTTTGCCGTTTTAAGAGTTACACTGTGCAAAATATGAACAGCAAATGTATTTGGAAACAGAAGGATCAAAGTGCTTCGCCCTGAGTGTTGAAAGGGCATGTTTTGCCATTGCCCTCTTTTTTTTTTTTTCTTTTTTCCTTTTCTCTCCCTAAAATAACATCGCAGGAAAAGCCAGTGTGATTTTTGTGAACCATTTTTGTTTCATAGACCTATATCTTCTTAGATATGACTGCCCTGTCTGAGCTCTTCCGGTTGCAACCGTGGCCTTGCCCTTGCTAGAGAAACACGCCAACAGTTGGTTTTGGTTTGACGATCGGGAGGCACAGGGATCGGGAGGCAGGAGGTACCTGCAGGGTGTTCGAGGCGTGATGCTTCCTGGCAAGCTCCTGACTCTCCAGGGCTGCCTGTACCAACCAGAGGTCACAGGTCCTGCACGAAGCGATCCACAGCCTGCGCAGTCCCAGCGCGGTCTGTGGGGCTAGTGTTCCCCTGCAATAGCTATCACCCTTTTTGCTTCTTCAGGGAGCTAGAGCTCACAGCCCGCTCCCTTAAAGGAGTGGAGGAAGAAAAGAAAGAGCTGCGAAGCCTCACACAGTCCTTACAGAAAACCCTAGAGGTGAGTGACCACTTCTCCCCTCTGAGTGACAGCATTTTGGGAACTATCCATGAGACCTGACCATGGCTGAAAGCAATGTTGTCCTGTGGAATGAATCTAACATCTGCCAGTGCCAGAGTTAAGTCCTGTGTGGATGAACAGGTTCATTTGGTAGCTGATATAAAGGCCAAAATCCCCTGCAGAAAAGGACTAGAAGTGACATGGAGTCCACCAGAACCAAACTTTTCTCAGCAGTCCAGGTGATGTTACGTAGGACCATAACCATAAATTGCAGTTTGGGAAGATCAGGTTGCACACTAGGGAGAGACTTTTCACCAGACAGGTAGGCAGGCAGTGGGAGAGGCTGAGGAACCTCCATCACGGAAGGTTTTTACAACTTGAGTGTAGAAAGCCACAGATGACCCTATCTTGCTGTGCTGACAGACCAGCTCTGAACAAGAGGCTGGACTAGAGCTTACCCTTCCAGTCTGTGATAGCTTTCTGTTCTCTGTGGTGTTTGGTTTTTGGGTTTTTTTTTTAACTCCCTAAGTCCTGGTGGAAATTGGAGCAGCAGAGAGGCATTCCTTATTCACAGAAGGGAGCTTGGTTCCCAGGGAATCATCTGCCACATGGGAATTTAGGAAATGGAGTGTTGATGTATTAAACCCTTTCCTTACTTGATATCACTCTGGCGGGTTGGTGGAAATGGCTTTTCTCAACGTATATTGTTTGTGAAATTTCCACACAGCTGGCCTTCTGAAGCCTCAATGTCATCCTTAATGTTTGTGTCAGATCCTGCAAGTTTGTTCAAAAATCTGCTGCTGATGTTCTTTGAGCTCTTCTCCTTGCCCACAGTTATGGGCATGAAAAAAGAACTGGAAAGCTAAGGAAGGACCATTCATGCCCTAGTTGCACACTGGACCAAACAGTCAACAGGAAACCAGCATGATACGTCCTATTGCCCCGCAGCTAGAAGTACCACAGAGGGGATGCCTCTAGTTCTTGCTGAGGAGCAAGGTGAGGAGGGAAGTCAGGGAAGCTGCCTGCATCAGTGATGCACTAGGGAAGCATGAGGGTCCAGTCCCTGAGCTGGGTCCTTACCAAGATATCATGTCAAAGGAGCCTGCAGGTTCTTGCCTCCTTGCATAGTAAAGGCTATGGTGGAGGGTTGCTCCTCGTGAAGCAGGTACGAAATGAAAACCAGATTTTGTTATTCCTGTTTTTAATCTGAATGAGGCATGTGGATGTAAGGATGGAGGGACTCAACAGGGAGGAGACAGGCAAGAATAGGAGCAGAAATGTTAGCCTTGGCTGATACTCACAATCTCTGCCCTTCTCCAAGGAGCTCTCCCTGGAAAAGCAGCAAATGCTGGAGATGCTGGAAGAAAATGAGAGCCAGCTCCCACCTCCAACCAGCCCCAGCAAGGAGCAAAGCCCCATCTGGGGACTGCACTGCAGCCTGCAGCAGATTGAAGAGAAGATGCAACAACTTCTGGAGGAGAAACTCCTGGCAGAGAAGAGGTGAAGTGGGGGCAGGGGCTCTTACAGTGGTGCCAGAAACAGGGATGTGGGACAAGATGAGATCCAGTGTGAAGAGAGGGGTGGGAAAAGAGATGGCTTTCCCCCTCACAGGTGGGAGGTAATCAGAAAGGGTATGGCTAAATACTTCCAGGCTTAAAATTAGGATCACTTCAAAACTGTTCCCCTGTTTATCCTGAGACCTGCTGAGAGGCGAGATCCTTTATAATTTCCATTTCTGGGTGCATTAAAGGGAAGAGGACATTTTTGCCCTGCTCGGGCTCAGCTGTGCCAAATGACGTGACTAGCTGCTGACTTGCTTTTTGGTTACCAACACAAGCCAAGTCTGGAAGCTTGTCTGGTTCCCATGGCAGGAGTTCAGGTTATAAAAGCTTCAGGGGGGACAGCTGAACTCCTTGCTGCCGCTTGGGCCAGCTCCTTTCAAATCAGGGCTTAGGCACATGAATCCACTCAGTGTTCATGGACTGGTCTATAAAGAAGCGTTTGGTGCTCCTGGACCTTATCTAGGGGTTGATAATGTTCCATTCAAGAGCTGCCCACCTGGATTTCTCCAGGAATGGCTGTGTTATTGAACTGAAACACGGACAGTGCTCCTGTTAGTGCCTCTTTGCTCAGGGCAACCAGGTAGTTAAGTATGCCCCATCCCGATACTGAGCCCCTTCCTTCCTGCAAGTTGTGCTGGGGTGGGAATGGTCATCTGCCTTTGCTGTGACGTGCACCAGGATGAAGGAGAATGAGGAGCGGTCCCGAGCACTGGAGGAGGAGAGGGAGTTTTACTCTTCCCAGTCGCAAGCGCTGCAGAACTCGCTCTCCGAGCTGACCGCGGAGAAGCAGCAGACGGAGAGAGACCTCAAGGTATCCCCTGCATATGTTGCATATTGCTGTCCCTGGGCCCAGAGTTCTCTCATTTTCCCTTTCAGTTCATCCCCTATCAAGCGGGAGACTTGGGGTTTATTTTGTTTTCATTTTGTGGTCGCAAATCTTTGTTTGCCATGTTTCATATCATGGCAACACGTGAAGTTGCCATGGTGTATCTATGTAGCATTAGTATTTATTTATCTTCTCATTCTAAGGCCTGGCTAACACATTCAGTAAAAGTCTTTTCACTCGCTACTGTGAAAGCATCACCTAAAGATGGAGGGAGGACAAAAAAATAAAAGAGGAAAGGAAACGCAATCAAGAATAAAGATTATTTCAAAGAAATTCTAATATGGACATTGCAGAACTGAGCAGAAATCTTCCTTCCTCACTTGTGCTCAGAGAATCAATCTTAAGATTTGTAAATCTTCAGGAACCTCTGCATGAACTTGGGTTCAAAAGCAGAGGAATGCAGGTGAGGTACCAGCCCTCCTTCGTTACCCCGGTAATGGAAGATACCTTAATCTAGGCAAAGGTAATTGGACAAAGTCTGCTATTTTATTTTAACCTAAATAATGTGAAGTTTATGCTTATTATTGCCTGTTTGACACTCAGCCTCCTTCTACAAATATTTTGTCAAAAAAACCTCCGATTCTTTTTTTCCTGCACCTCTAAGATTTTCTTATCCTGTAACCTTCCACTTGGCCAAACTAAAGCAAAGTTGGCCTAAGCTGTATTAGTTATTCTCATTTGCTAAGCTACTACTGATGTTACCCTTTATTTCTAACTTTTCTTGTGTTTTGTTTCTGAAACTAAGTACTGTACACCCCTTTGTGGGAATGGACTGCCTTTATCTGAAGTCCGTCGCAGCTGGAGCGATGTCCTTCTGTTCCTGTTCAGCTGCAAGTACTTGTAAAAGCACAAATTCACGTGTTGAAATGCCATCTCTGATTCCACGTGGTTCATACAATGAGAGGGAAGCTGTGAAAATGAAAGTCAGAGCAAAGGAGAATTACTAAAATAATCTGGACTTCAAATTCAAATTTTTGTCTGAAGACATGAAGAACAACTTTTATGTTGCCTTACAATATTTCTGTTGGTTTTCCTTAACTGTTGTCTTTTCATTGTCATCTGCTTGGTGGGTCCCTCACAGACCTTGTGAGTCAGCAGGATGGCCATCGAGATGCAAGCTGTTTTTCAGCAATGCTTATTCTCTTCCTCAGGCTGAGGTGAAGGTACGCATGGATCTGGAGAAGAGACTAAGGGAAGCTGAGGAAGCATTGCAGAGCTTGGAGCAAGGCTTAAATTCTCTGGATTGCAACAAGGAGAAAGAGGAGAAGATGAAGGCAGATGTCAGTAACTTGAGAAGTAAGTCAGTCATCCATCCCCTCGACAGATGAGCAAGCTCAGAGAGGAAATATTTCTACCCATCTTCCCAGACACAAAAAGAAGTTCCCAGATCAGCAAAGCTGCACATAATGTGCTCTCCTAACTCCTTTGTACCTCAACCACCCCTCCCTTTTGAGGAGCTAGAATGTGCTACGCAGGCACCTGGCGTCTTGCCCTCAAAGGAGAGCAAGATTATCCCTGCCTTCCCTGTTGGGTGGAAGACAAACCTAGGGGCAGAGATGAGCAAATGCTTTCCAAAATGTCAACAGGGCAGCTGTGGCAGAGCTGTAAAGGCTGACTCGGTCTGAGTTGGAGAGAGTCCCTGATTCCCCTCAGTATAATCTTTTCTCATCCTGGTTACGAGAACATCAGCAGTTTAGGAAGACTGTGGTTGCTGTAGCAACATGCTGGTAGGTGACCCAGCAGGTGAAGTTTGGATCCTTATTTAGAACTGAATCACTGCATCAGCCCAGCACTGCTGTGGTTTTTTGGGGTTTTGTTTTGTTTTGGTAAGATGGGCTATTACCCTAGCATCTGACTTGAGTCAGGTTGGGGAATTGGCATCAGCAGCTTCAACTGGGTGAAGTCTTACTTGTTGTCCATCCTCGAGTATAGTGCAGGGGGAAGCTGTTACAAAGGTGCTGTATCTGTGCAGTTAAGGCTTCGTTTCAGTGAAAGGTGGATGTTTTGGGCCAGTATAGAAAAGCCAAAAAGTCCTGTGGCATTCTGAGCACTGTTACATATACAAGTATAAATGCGTGTATAAATAGTTTTTATATACATACACACGTATTTATAATTCATGCATATAAATCTATGTAAAGAAAACAAGTATTATTCAGTAGTTCCTACATCAGATTTCTAAACTGAGACAAAAAGGCATGATTCTGAACTTCATCCCACTGGCTCAGAGTCACGGTAAGAAAGCAGAGCTGAAGTGGATATGTTCAGCTCAGCGTTCAACTAGAGCTGAGCTACCTGCACAGGGCATAAGTGAGTAACCTCTGGCACTGAACGTCTCCTGACACTCATTTCCAACCTTAGAATTTTGGGGGATGTTTTCTTCAGAAGAGTAAGAAGGTAACGATGAGCAAAATTCTAGAGAAAGTGAGGCAACAGCAATGTTTGCTTTAACATCAGTCCCAGCACAGACTGCCTCAGTCTTTCCAAGTGATCCCTGCAGCTTTGCCTTGCCCTTTCACGAATGAGTTGGGGCACGTTAGCACGTCAGCCCTCTGAACAGCAAGGGACCTGCGACAGGCAGGAGGATGGCAAGACTGGAGTGGCAGAAGATAACGCCAGTTAGACCGTAAGAGGGGAAATGGGCCAGAAAAAGCAGCTTGTAGAGCAGAGGGGGACAGAATAATGTTGTTGGAGTTTGGACATGGGACTTTGCATGGAGCCTGTAATGTATGTGCTAGTATTTGCTATGCTAGTAAGAAATCCCTGGCCATGTATGGCCCAGGTGTGTGTGCCCGTGACAGAGTTGCCAACACCTCCCTTTCCGCAGTTAGACTTGACTGGTTTTAGAAGTCCTTCAAAGGAAGCGCGATGGGCAAGGCTTCAGACCCCCCTGTTGCAAGAGAGTTTGAGACATTTTGTCATAATATCAGAAGCTTTTGGCAGCTGAATTGTGAGCAGTTGTGGGAATGACTGATGGGGAATGGATGCTTGGAGCTCTTTCTATAATTTGAGTATGCATTTGTTGGCGACTGGAGGTTTTTGTCAGTTTGAACTTGTTCATTCTGATGATGTTCTGGGGCATCATGGATTGTTGTTCATGAAGATCTAGGGAGGTGTTGAAGGTCACTGCCATCAACAAATGCAGTCCCTTGTGACTGGTTCACTGCTTGAAGTGTCTCTCCCATCACTGCTCACGGTGACATCTTCTCCTCAGAGTTCTTTGAAGAGTGCATCCGCAATGCCGAGCTGGAGGCCAAGATGCCAGTCATCATGAAGAATTCTGTGTACATCCATAAGGCTGCCACTCGGCGCATAAAGAGCTGCCGCTTCCACCGCCGGAGAGCCAGTGCTTCGTGGAATGACCGTAGGTATCGGGCAGCTTCTTACTCCATATCCTGCAGGAGCAGATACGTGCAGATGGGGCTGGCAGAGCAGTAAGGTCTGCAAACGTGGTTATTATTTCATATTCTCTAGCAGTAGAATGGAGCTACAGAGAAACCTGGAGCTTCTCCACCCAGAGAGCAGGCACTGAGTCTGCATACTGGTTGCCTGTCTCATCACGTGTGTCGAAAGGTAATTGCTGTGATGGTCCTGGGCCCCTAAAAAACATGCTCAAAGCTGACTTCATCTGAATGTTTAATCACAGACTGAGTTAGGTTGGAAGGAACACCTGGACATTGTCCGATCCAATCCTGTGCTCAGAGTGGCTATGTGCAAGGTTAGATCATGTTATACCCTAACTCAGAGGCAGCTGTAAAGAAGAAAGGTGTGTTTCCATGCTGTCAGCATTTGCTTCCTCTGAAAACAGTAAGGTGAAGCCATCAGAGTGCAATGGTTGGCTCATCCCTCGCCAGGCTCTCAGTCGTGTTGATCGCATGGCATGTGTGCTCTAGCGAAGACTTGTCTTCCGTCTGTGTCCCAGGTGGACAGGCTGACCTTTCTGCGCTGCTCTCGTTTCAGTGAAGCAGTCCCAGTCCTTCATCTTCTCGCACGCAGAAGCTGAAAACATTGAGGAGCTGAAAGAAACAGCCAAAAGACTGAGCCGGGACCAGCACTTCAGGGAGACTCTCTACCAAATCATGAGGTCGCAAAAGGATTCTGCTTCGGGGGATGAAAAGTGACTCTTGCTGGGAGAGGGCTTCTGATCTCAACTTGCCATTCAGCTCCGCAAAAGTTATGCTGTCGGGCGCTAGGGTCAGAAGGGAGATTTGCCCTTTGGTGGGGAAAGTGGGGGGAAGTTGTGTGTAGGCAATTCCCTCGGTTAGTGGCTTTGCTTTAGTTTGAATGCTCCCTGTAGCCTGGCAGACCTTCTCTGCTGACCACTCCAGGTATGTTTGCTTCAGCTGCTTACATTAAGCCACGTTTTGCCAAGATACCACAGCCGGTGTTAAAGTGAACCACAGACTGTAGCTTAGGAAGTGCCTCTTCTTTCCTTTCCCATCTAGTCTGTCTGCCAAACACAAGTGCTTCTGAGAAAGCCCTTCACCAGCCTCTGCTCCAGCTAATGTAACCTCCCAGCTGGACACAGCTTACCCTGTTCTGCCGGTTCCCCCCTAGGAAATGGCTCACTGCACACCCCCAGTTAATCAGCACTTCGGTGGGGCACGTTTCGTGGCACATTTCCTGAAGACCGCAACAAGCCCAGCCTCCCAAGCACAGGCAAGAATATCAAACACGGGGCAATCTCTTGATACTATGTTATTTCAAGCAAATGGTAGCAACAAAAGGTGAAGACAACCTGAGGATGCTGTGGATTTGGCTCCAAGGAGGATCATCTGCAGCAAAGAGCTTATAGGTAACTCAGCGGCATCGATGCAAGCTGGAGGGAGGATTGTGTTGGGTTGACTGTGGGCAGAACATCCTGGGGCCACCTTTGCACTTTTTTTTTGCATTGGGACATCTGGCTGTGTCACTGCCAGAAGGAGGAGCAGAGCTATGTGCTGCAGTAGGTATTATCTATGGGCAGATGTAGCATGGAGGAGCCTTTGACTCAGCTCTGATGGCTTCTCCATCACCTCTGTAAAACAAACTGGAGGACAGGTTGGTGAGGAGTGTCCAGCAGCAAAACCCACTACCACTTGGAGAATTAAACATTGCCAGCAGCAAGCTGTCAGGGCTGTGGAGGTGGGGAAAGTTATCTCTAAGTGCTGCAGTGAATAGCCTGTGTCCAAGGCTTTGTACTGCTCTCTACCAGTCCTCTTAATTGCAATCCAGGCTTATCTCAGCCAAGTTGGGACCTCTGGCAAGTCAAGGCCAACTGGGAGAAGTGCTGTGGATGTGGATGTTCAGGGGTGGGCTTCTGGCTGGCCTCTGTCCCCTCCCAAGCGCTCACCACGTGGTTATCGCAGGGGAGGATTTGCCCTGTGTGTGGCCATCTTGTGTGTTCCAGGAGAGGAATCACTTCCTTGTGAAAACCTTGCAGACTCTCCCGCCTATTTTTAAACAAGCTGGTGGCTAATAATTGCCCATGCTATAGTAACAGCACTGCCTGGTGCTTACAGAGCTATTACAAGGAGTGGCTGAGGGCACTGGGGTTGTTCAGCCTGGAGGAGGCTGAGGGGAGACCTTATCGCCCTCTGCAACTGCCTGAAGGGAGGGTGTAGTGAGGTGGGGGACGTCCTCTTCTCCCAGGTCACGGCACTAGGACAAGAGGAAACGGCCTCAAGTTGCGCCAGCGCAGGTTTAGGTTAGACATTAGAAAGAATTTCTTCACCCAAAGGGTTGTTAAGCATTAGAACTGGCTGCCCAGGGAAGCGGTCGAGTCCCCATCCCGGGAGGTGTTTAAAAGCCGGGCAGATGAGGTGCTTAGGGACATGGTTTAGCGGTGGGATGGCAGTGTTAGGTTAACGGTTGGACTTGGTGATCTTAAAGGTCTCTTCCAACCTAAACCATTCTATGATTTTTATGACAAGCATGCTCAGAGTGATGCTGTTATCCCCGTGGTATAAATTGGGAAACAAAGGAATAAACAATACAAAGGTGAATGAAGTTAGCAGCAGAGGTATGGTTAGGGCTCAGGGGTCTTAAGTGCAGATTTACTGGGGCTTTCAGGGCTGTACCCCTCATCACTACCCCTGGGTATTACATATGTCCAGTGACACCGGGGTAGCTGCTTGTCTGAACCAGGCTTTGGCTTCTGGTCACCTAATTCATTCCCTACCAAGTCATCGCTGTTTCTAGGGAGACATCAGGGGTGAGGCTGGGAAGGGAGCCCCACCTTGCCAGCCAGAGGAGAGGTGCTGATGCCGGGTGGAGGAGCACACTGGGAGGGTGTGATGCTCCGGAGGGAGTCACTCTGGTGTGACCAGAGGAAAAGCGTTGAAGGCACAGCCTGTGCTTTCCATTTCAGGCAGTTACTGACCAGTGTGCTTCTGCCAGGCAATGGGAGGTTTTACACAACCAGAGGGTCCAGCACTGAAGGCTGCCATTTTGTGATGGCAGGTGATGTGATAGTTAAAAGAATTTGCACCCCTCCTTAGCATACCTGGTCCTTCTGTGTGTTTTCCACTTGTGCTTGCGTGCTAGAAAGCCGCAAATGAATTCTTGCTCCTACAAGGCTGGAGGGCTGTGAGAAAGCAATACAGAGCTGGTTTTCCCCTTTACACTGTCCTCACATCATCTCTGGCTATTTTCCAGTTACAAGGTCTGTATTTATGCAATGCTGGAAGGGACAGAAAAAAGGACAGCCAGGGAGCGTAACTGTAGTTCGGGCAGTTAGGAAAATCACCCTGTGGCTTGTGAATGCAGCACCTCTGATCTATTGCCATCAAAAGCCACAAATATCAGACTTTACAGAAGTATTGCACTCAGGAGGTGGCCGCATCGGGTCTTCCTTTACTGTGCATATTCACAGCAATAAACAAATAAAAGTTACGCTGACTCTAGAGTGAACTCCTGTGTGTTCTTGATACACTGTCACTGAAATAATGTTAAATTGCCTCCGCAGGAGTTGAGATGAATCGTTGTGACACGCTCATTTACTGCCAGCGCGCTTCCTCTGCTTCACTGAGTTGTTGTGTTATGTACTTTAACATCACCTCTCAAAAGGACTGGCTTTATGTAAAACGCTTTCACCCTTGCTACCCGCTTCCACTTTGAAAATGTCTATAAGAAGTTAAAGCCAGAATGTATCAAATCTAAAGAAACCTCCCACTTGCTTACCTGAAGCCGGTGAGCAGCTCCCTGGGTACCCAGCAGGGCGTGCCCAAAGCCACCTGCGGCAAGGTGCCTGCCATCAGTCCTGCCTTGCTGCAGATACCAGGCCTGCGGAGGAACCTGCCACCCTGTAAGCTCCCTAGCAGGGTCAGCACAGAGCTGGGTCTGTGCACCATAGCATCTTAATTGACTGCCTGTCTCCTTATTCTTTTTGAAAGGACACAGAAGTACCGATTTCAACATTATCGGTGTATTTTTAACGCAATGCAGTAATAGGAAGATGGCTTAGGGAGCAACCCACCTCTGTTCAAATGACCTTCGCTAGTAATCCTGGGTCACATCACTTTCTCCTACTGGGAGAACTGGGAATGAGACAAGAACTCCCACCACCGAGGAGTTCCCTAAACTGTTCCCTCGTGTCCGAGGATAGGAGAAGATAGAGGATGGTTTGCGCCTCTAAGATTTCTCTTCAGAAGCTGCAGAACAGCTAGACTGGGTCTGAAAAGCCGGTGGCCATTCTTCCACCACCTCCACCTTCTAGCTATCATCTGGGAACTTCTCCTCCCTCTGAAGACTTTCCTCGTCGTCCCCTTCAGAGGCACTTTAAATTATGGTTTCTTTTGCAGACACGGCTGAACGTGAAGCCTGCTGACTGTCTTCTGTGTTGTCTTGCCTGCTTTTCACAGCGTGAATGGTGGCTCCTGCTAAGGTCAATTTAAGGGTTAATTTCATCCTGTACATAAGATGCACGAAGCCTCCCGGCTGTTTCACTCACTGCTGTAGAAAAGTGATTCCCGCTGATGGACAGGGCTTTGGCAGCTCCCTTGGTGCTCGCTGCCCCCAAGGCTTTGCTCTTGCACAGAAGTAAATGGCAGAGAAAGGGAGGCAGCCCCAGCCCCGCTGCCTCCAATATGCGCTGCTTCTAAAGCAGAGAAAGTGGGCAAGAAATGGAAACTGCCCTTGGGGTCAGGAGTCAATAAGAAAGGATAAACGGTGCCGATGCGTGTTACGCATTGCTGTGCACAGCTTACAAGGGACACGGGCGGGGAGCAATTTTCAGCTACAGAGTATGGCTTGCTTTTTCTCTTTTTTTTAGCTCAAGACGGTAGGCAGGCTTCCTGTTCAGGACATTAGTGTATCTCTTTGGAGAGAAGATGATAATTTTTCACAGAAATAGTCTGTTTTGAATGCTTTTTCATGCAGTCACTTTCTGTGGTTAGTGGAAGGACAGAGGATGCCTCATGTTGAGTCTGGTAAGGAAAAATTTGCTCTCAAAAAGGTGGTCATGCTCTGAAGGTTCAGGCAGGTCCTGGGGCTTGCCCGGAGGCTCAGTGCTTCATTGTGCTGGCGTGACTGTGAAGGATGCTATTATTTTCAGCATCTCCACCTGATATGCCTGGCACAAGGATAATTCTGCAATTTTTCACCTAGTCCACACGCACATTTGTTATCCATCCAGTTTGAGCGCGGCCATGAATGGGAGAAATGACCGAGGCAGAGGGATCTGCTGTAGCCGGTCACTGAAGAGCCGGGTCTGGGGTGGCCTGTCGAGGTGATGGCTACCATGAGCGGGGCCAAGTGAGACCATGAGCTGGGCAACCACATATGGTTTGTTTAACCACCTGCGGTGCCTTTCTTCCCACCGAGGTAACGTCCCTTCCTCTATATTAAGTAACTCATTTACTTCTTACTGCAAGCTTAAGTCTAAAGCTGAAATAGAGGAAGATCCAACTGAGTACTTTGTCAGGTCTGTGAGTCCTTTCTGCTCCTTTCTGTCACCAGTACTAAGTGCAGGACATGACACAGTGCTGGAACCAACATCGCTTTTTTTCAGTGTTGGCAGATCCGACACTTCAGAGGAAGAAAAATTATAAAGGCTGTTTTGCGGGAGTAACAAAGGCACCTTTTGCTAACTCAGAGGTGTTGCAATAAATAACTCAGCAGGGTCATGTGTTCTTATTTTGCTGTATTATAAAAAGTGCAAACTTTGCATTGCTTAAAATAATAAGTGAACTCGCTTACCCTTGAGTTCTTCTTGACTGCACCCCTGCCTCAAACCTCTCTGTGGAAGCCACCCAAGAGCAGAGGAATGGGTCCCCTGTTTCTCTATCATTAATTCCACGGGCAGGAGAGAGCTCCCATTTTCCTCCCGCTGCCTGCAGTAAATGCCAGCCCCTGCTCCTCCACCATCAGGAAAACAGGTTCGGGGCAGGGTGTTGTTGCTTTTGTTGTTGTTGTTGTTGTTCTAAGTTGTGCAAAATAGGAGTAAATATTTTTAGTGTGGCTTGAAAGCAAGCTGTTCATGGTGGCTGCAAGAAAACTGACTTGCTGCAACGGGATTTGGCCCTGTTCAAAAAAGGTGCTGGTGCTCTCAGCCCTGATGGAAGTAGGGCTGGAGGCTCGTGTTAGAGTCACTGTTGAGAGCACAGCCACGAACAGGGCAACAGCGCTTAGGGCAGAGCTCTCTCTTTGGGAGGGTTCACAGGCACTCAGGGGCCGTGGCTGTCAGAGGTAGGCTGTGCTCTTAGGTGCTCTCATGGCAGCAGTGTGCGAGACCGTGAGAAGAATTAAAACCACATGGCAAGAAGGTGGGAATGCTGTGGCTTTTGTAGCCAGATAG